GCGCTTCCTCCCGGCAAAGTGGGTGAGGAAGCGCTGGGCAAGGTCTTGCCATGAGTCAATGCTCCCTTCGGGGAGCGCGTTGAACCAGTCGTACGCTGGCCCCTCAAGAGTAGAGAGGAACCAACGGCAGAGGTATTCATCCGACGCGTTCACCATCAGCATGTTGTTCTGATAGCGGCTGAAGTGTTCCTAGGGGTCTCATCGGCCATCGTAAGACTTGATGGCGTTCCCCCTGTACTTTTCCGGGATGGGGGCCGAGAGCACCCTGTTGGTGAAAGGGGTCCTGGTCCAGACCTGGATGATGGGATCACCTCGCCCTTCGGCCAACTCCCTCTCCAGGGCGCTGACCTTGTTCATGAGAGCGTTGAGGCCGGGGTCGTTGGAGGCGCCGGCCGTAGGGTTGTTGGCCGATTGCCTGGCCTCCATCTGAGCCAGCCTCCTTTCCAGCTGGGCGATGACCTCGTCCCGGGGGTCCCTGGCGGCCGCAGCGGCGCCCGGCTGGTTCCTCATGCGCTCTTCGTGAGCCGCATTGATCTGGTGGCGCACGTCGTCCTCGTGTAGCTTCCCCTTGCCCTTGTCCGGGCGGGGCTGGTCCGCTGTCCGGGACACAGACCCCAAACTTTCCCTTGGCGAGCCAGGACGACGCTCACCAATCCACCCTGCCATCCTCTCCGAGACCGGACGACGACGTGTGTCACCTAGCCTATTGAAGGCAGAGGCTTTTCCACGCGTTGGGGTCTGCCCAGGCCGAAGAGGGGAAGCGGGGTGGGAGTGGGACGACGTTGTGTCCTGGTCCATCACCCCCTCATCGTTGCCTATCTGGACGGCCAGAGGTCGGGGCTGAGGAGGTGGAGTGACGTTCCCCCCGGTCCTTGGCAAGAGCGCGCTGAGGACGGTGGGGTTCTGGGCCAAGCTGGCGATGATGACCGACAGCGCGACCTGGACCTGTGGATCCACAGACGGATAGGCCGCGGCCATAGGCTGGGCCGGGGCGTGGTCCGTTTTCTCGGCTCGTCTCTTGTCCAAGCCGATGCGGGCATCAGGGGCTCCGTCGTTGAGTTGGTTGCGGAGGTCCGTTGTGAGGTTGATGGCCTCCTGGAAGACGTCCCCTCCGCCGACCTGGTCGGCCGTAGCATCCTCCTCGTGCTCCCTGGCCTCCTGGTCCTCAGGGATGGCCTTGCTGACGAGGTTGCGGTTTGATTTAGTTCTTCCCATGATCAGTGGTTAGCTGTGCTTGGTAGCGACGAAGGGTGCTAACTTGATTGTTCTAGCTCTCAACGAGAGCACCAAATGATAGAGTATATCTAGAGAGAAGTGAGAGCTAGAGAGAGAAGTGCAATAATATGCTTCAATAGAATGAATTCGTAACCCTGATAACTACCTCCAGAGGAAGTATTTATAGGGAAAATACGGGCTGGGCTCCCAAGCCTTGGGCTTGGGAGGCCCATTTACAACTGGACCACTACTGGGCCGAATACAAAGCCTCTAATGGGCTGTTCAAATGAGTAAGTGTAAAATCCGGTTCTGTGAGGTCTTCGTGGCCGACGAGGGCACGGCCGACGAGGGCACGGCCGACGAGGGCACCCGGGTTCCTTGGATTCAGGACCATATTCTGAGTTGGTACCTTCCCGGCCGACGGGGGTCCCTTGGCCGACGAGGGCACCACTCAGTGTCTTGTGCTTTCTGTTCTTCTGAGTATGTGGGTCCGGGGGCTCAGACCCATATACTCCATCAGTCATATTTCAAAACGCTAACCCAAAACTCCCCTACTTGCAACATTTGAGCAGTTCCATCCGAAAACGCTAGGACCGAACAACCATTTACCAAATAACGTTTTAATTTACTGAAAACGTTAAAAGTGGTCAAATCGCTAATTTTTGTTGAAACGCCATTTTCCAAACACCTCATGGCATGAAGAAAGAAATATTAATGTTAAGAGATAATAATTCCCTATCTAGGTGTAAAATAAAACAAAATTGCAAAAGTAGGACTTGATATTTCCGTAGGAGTAAACATATATGACTTAGACCAGTTTGCCCTTAATGAAACGTCCAATTTCTTTATTATTATTAATTTAAAGCAGAATAATAAAATACAATGAATATAATTCAACGATCACAACCCTAGACACGGTGACCATCTTCGAATACAACGAATTTCTAATTCTCTGCCACCGGTCAACAATGGACACCTTATCTGCTGCCGCCCCTATCGCCGTAGGCGGTGGCGGCGGCTCTTCCACCACCGTCTGCCGCCTCTGCCACCACCATTGTCGCATCTCCTGCCGCCGCCGTCATAATTTGTTTTGCCGCCAAGTTTTCTATCCTCATCTCTTCCGCCATGGCAGTTGCCGCCGCCTCTTCTGGCAAGCCAGTTGCGGATCTCCGGCAAGAACATCAGATCTTATGACAACAACACATTTGTTTCCCTACAATGGTATTGACATGTTTTGACACTTTGACATCCAAAACATGACATTTTTGAATTAAAAATTATGGCATTTTCAGATAAAAATCATGGCATCACAGACAAAAACATGACATTATTTGCCCAATGAGTAAACAAAATGGCAATAGAGCATACTTTCAATAACAAAATGGTAAAGTCAGTGCCATATATATGGCACTATTTGCCCAACGAATATACTTTCAATAACAAAAAAGAAATGTCATTTTGTGATTTTTAAATGATTAGAAAAAGTAGTTTTATGCTTTTAAAAATAAAAAATTCGGAATTAATAGAAATTTTTTGAAGCCAGCAAGCTTCCAATCACCATAATTGGAGCTCTAATTTCATATTCAAAAAGATTGAGAAAAATAATAATAATAATAATAATAATAAGAAATAGAAGAAGAACAAGAAGAAAAAGAAGAGGAGAAGGAGGAGGAATGTCGAAACTTACCTATGAGTTCACCGCCTCCCACCGCCCGCCGGAGCTCCAGAAAAAAAAATCACCGTTAATACTTCTAAAATTGGTCAGAGATGGAGGATTTTAGATATATTGAAAATATGGAGCATGTTAGAGTAGAAGATATGATTGAATAGGAGTTGTGAGAGCAGGAAAGTGAGTTTGGCAGATCTATTGCGTGAAGAGCTTGTGCGCATATGAGTTGTAAGGTTGTTGGCTGAGAATAAAGGGTAGGATGAGTAAAATACAAAAATAATCCTATTTTGGGAATAAAAAAACCTATAATCCTATTCTTGCATTAATCTTTTATTTTGGTCCTATTTGAATCAATTACTTTAATGTTAATTAACAGCTCGCTCATTTTCAAGATCACATACTAAGAGCTCTTTCTAAATGATATCAAACACCTCTAAATGGGTTTAGTAATCCCTATGGTAAAGGAATCTCACACCACCTAAATAATATTTCTCTAGATAAATGAAATGGACGGATTGAGGAACACATTACTCGAAAGAAATGAAGTTGCCAAAACGGTCTTGTAAGCAAACACGTTTCCAAATTACAATCAAATGATCTTGTACACATCATAGAGTGGGAGGGAAAGAAAGTAATTGTACAAAATACGGAGTAATGCTTTTCCCAATATGAGTAAACTTGCCCCTCCATAAATATGAAAGAATGAATCCGCACGAGTAGTTCAATGGTGGTGGGTGAACGAGGCAGTTGAGTTTATATCTCATTCAGAAACTGTTTGAGATTATACCGTGATTTACTCATTCATCATTCTATCGAGTTGGCATGTGAGTGCGCTTGAAGTAAGCGATTCCACCTTTTTGACTTGAGAGAATCAGGGGCGGACCCAGGAAAGTCATCTTGGGGGGCGAAAATATTTTTTGGGGGGTTCAAAATAATTTTTCGGAGGGAGAAAATTATTTTTCATATATATATACACTAAAAAAAATTCTTGTTGGGGGGGCGGTAACCCCCCTGGGTCTGTACTACGGTCCGCCCCCGGAGAGAATGGATCGGTGGAATATAAAATACTACCTCTGTGTGAAATAATAAAACTGGAGAATAATGGCTTACCGTTGTGGTAGCCTTAGCTGTGTATTTATATTAAGCAAAGGATAAATAATTACACACAAGTCCTTAATACTAATAATAAAATTAATAACACGTTATTACTCAGTTCTCTTTTAATTGCAACATTGTACTTTTTACACTATTTACATGTTCTACTTTGACTATATTTTATTTATTGATGTATTATAAATTAAATTTTGTAATTTTTTTTAAATTCCTCTCATTTTAAATTTTCAAAATATGATTTTTTTAATTTTTTTACTAATACAGAATGAAAGATATTAATGGTCAAATTTATGTTTAATCAACAGTGAGAAGTGGACCGTTGACATTGAAATAGGAAGAAGTATATAACAAATACTAGTACTCCCTCCGTCCCATAAATTTTTTCCTGCTTTCCATTTTGTTCTGTCCCAAAAAATTCTTCCCACTTATCAATTTTGAACAATTTGTGTGGTTCCCATTCATGTCACCTTTTCCTACACAACCACAAACACACATTTCCACTTTATTTCACTTTCTTAATATTCATGCCAAGTCAAAGTAAGAAGAATTTTGTGGGAAGGAGGTACTACAATTTTCTTTTCAATCTAGTAGTATTTTTTTCAACTCCAAGTGTGAAATACGAAGTCGTCCTTATATCAGGGGTCTAGAAGACATGACTTAATCTCCATCTCCTCATTTTATTTATGCACAGTATTTATGTATTCAAGAATTGTTTCGTAAAGTCAACAAATTTTCTGTCCCAAATTGTTTTGTAAAGTCAACAATTTTTTGTCAATCAATAATAAAAGTCAATGTTCTTTATCGACAATTAATTCAATATTCAATAATTATAATTTATATATTCAAAAATTATATTAAAATCTCTTCAAAGTTGTAAACTCTAAATTAGAATATACGTAGTAATTAAAAATTGACATCCTAATTATGCTAATAAAATGAAGCTGAGGGAGCTAATAAAATTGACATCCTAATTATCCTAATTTGGAGATCAATTTGGTAGGGAGGGAGCTACTATAATAATCCCATTCGGCTTAAACCGCCTCTGTCCTTGCTCTCTTCCCAGACAAAGCATGAGAAAGATTTCACCATCAAGCTGAGGCCGGACTCAAATTGACCATTCTACCACCTCTTATCACCCTCTCCATCTATACAAAGCCCAGCCCCCCTTTCTGGTTTAGTCCATTTCAATTCTTTTGTTCCGAAATCATCGCCGAGCACTCCATCTTCGGCACTCGTGTATATCCCTTGCTTCTGTGTGTCAAATATACGTGTAAATCTCGCTAGGTTTCGAAAATTCAGAATACGTTTGAAGGAAAGAAGGAAGAATTCGTTGCGGTGAGTTTCAGGTTGCAGGAGCACTGTATGTAATTATGGAGTTCCGGCCGTTTTGAGTTGAGGAGTATCCAAGGAGCGATCGAAATGCGGGTGAGGGAGATGCATCCGCTCTGTTGCCTGCTGCTCGAGAGCGGCGCGATCGGTGACCAATCGCCTCAGCCGACTTCGAAGAAGAAGGCGGCGCCGCGGTTATTGAGGACCGGATCGGCGGTGGTCGGATCTGACGCTTGGTCCGTAGGATCCGAAGCCACCAGCGTCGCCGGCGTCCTCTACAAGTGGACTAATTTCCACAAAGGCTGGAGATCCCGGTGGTTCATACTCCGCAACGGCATCCTCACCTACTCCAAAACTCGCCGCCCCGCCTACTCCGCCTCCTCCGACGACGGAATCAAGCTCATCGGCCAGCTCCCGTCCAACAACCCTGGTGCTCAACGTAAACCCCGCAAATCCGTCCGCATTGTCCACCTTAAGGTAAACTACTGCGTCCTTGTACATCATAGAATCCGCCGCTGACCCACTACGGCAAAAAAATTACCCACTGCGGATAAAAATTACTTTAACCTTTTCACTATGCTACAAAACCTGCGGTGTAAGTGGGGTAGAAAGCGAGTCTGATGTGATAATATTCGATGAAAAGAAATATCATCAGATTAGAATCGGCCAACCCGATTGGGTCACCTGGACGACGTACATTTTTTTTTGGGGTAAAAGCAATGAATGGATGATATTGATTCTGTCACGATTTTCCAAATCTATGAAACTTTTCTGTTCATCGCTGTCACCAAATAGCTTGGAAATCTGAGCTTTGAATATTTACCACAACTGGAGGTTATGTGAAATCTCTCAAAATGCAACGTTTAACCTCCAGATCTTTAACTGCTCGTTAATCTGTAGGTCAGCGATTTCTAGGTTTTGCGGTTAAACGAAAGGGTAATAGTCGTACAATTCTACGTATTGCAGCGAGAAGTAGGGTTAGGTAATCATTTGAAAAAAACTACAGTAATATTATGTGAATTGAATCTATATGATCAAGAAATAAATTACTACGTAATCTGTAGGTTTTGAGGTTCTGAAGGGAAAAATAGGGTTAGGTAATGAATTAAAAAATAATACTCGGTATTACTGTTCCTTAATTATTCCGTATCAATGTTTATGTCACTTTCTAGAAAATGTGTTTGGGTGAGTTTATGTGGTTCTGAATCTTCAGATTATCACAGATCCAGATATCCTTTTTCTTCAATTTTGGCTTGCTAAATCTTCATTTTGTCAGTTTGACTTTGATGTCTCTGCGTATTTCTTCCTTCCTCTCTGTGGACATGTCTTATCGGTCATCTTTTCTTTTGCGACGAAGTAAGCACATACAGTGGTTTTTTTAATAAAAAATGCATTGGCTTTTTCTTCTTGACCGAAACAGTAAAAGTGGAAGTGTTTGGAACGATGGCTTTATCTCTGCACTTTTACTTCTTGTACGAGTACTATTTTTGTTTTTACTGTTTGGGTCTTTTCCCTCTCCCGCTCTCCGTAGTGGTCTAGTGGATGAATATTAGGGAGTAGTAATGAATTATTGACAATTACTCCGTATTATTATATTATTGTTTTAATTATTATTATTCTTATTTTTTAATTTATTATTATTAATTATTAATATTATTTCTGCTATTAGTGTTCTTATATTCCCAAAAAATGAATCAAAACTAAATACTCCGGGTATGAGTATGTATTGTTTTTGTTCTTTGGGTTATCAAACTTTAATAATTGAAACGGTGTAGGTGGATTTCAATCATTTCACTATTGAATCCAATCTTAAAAGTGTCAGTAAAATTAGAGCAATTATACTCTATCCAAATTGAATATCAATAATGCTAGTAATGGGTAGTAGTTACCTGGCTGCCAATTTGCTGTATTTCTAACTTCTAAGTAATGCATTGAAATTTTTATTAACATTCAAATTTTTAAGTGACTCATATTATTGAATGTGTGTCAGTGATCGTATAAACCCAATATCTGAGATATTGTATTTTATAGGCAAAATAGTCAGTAAGAGAGAAATAAGTGTAGAAATAAGCTTAGTGGGCCCAAATGTAAAAGACTAAAAAATACAGTACGAGTCACAAGATTAGAGTTTGAGTTCATATACTTCATCAGAACCCTATAACTAAAAAAGCAAGACTAATTACTCCGATCATTCTAACTACTCCCTCCGTCCCTAAATAAAAGCATCTGTTTCCTTTTCGGGTCGTCCCTAAATAAAAGTTCCCTTTTCTTTTTTGGCAAACAAAACAGTGCCAAACAGTGTCAAACAGTGTCCAAACAGTGCCAAACAGTACCAACCAAAAACACTTTCTTAAAATGTGTGGAAAACGAATGAATGCTTTTATATATGGACGGAGGGAGTACTTTACATTTCAAAACAAAAACTAGATAATATTTACATTTAATATGCAGCCGGTAAACCGTAAATTAAAGTGTTCAATTTAATTTAATATAATGTTTTATATATCTAATTTATGAAGTATTTAAATTTGGAATTTGTGGTACAATAGTTATTAGTGTAATTAGGGCACTAAATAGTACTCGATAAGTTTTAGTATTAGTGTCATTTTGGTAGAATCAATACAACAACATTCAAGCCTCAATCCCAAAAGATCTAATCAATATTAACCTTATATAGTCAATTCTCATAATCCAAAGTGTAAACAATATGATGAAACTTTGAGTATATATAATTATGCACTAGTATTTTTTTAAACACAACTCGATTTTAACTTTTTCATACCTATTCATTGTTTGTAAGTATTAAAGTTCTGAATACAATGCCAATTTAGTTAGGCTTTACGATTTACTTCACTTGGATGGACTTCAAAACTTAATGAGCCAAACAAAGAACTAATTCTTTCTGTTTTTCTATTTACGTTCATTAGGGATGATCTGATATTCTGTTTAAAGTTTTGCAACTGATATCATTGAGAAGCTCCTTTCGAGAACCAAACACTAATTTTTTTGTCAATTGTTTAGCCCGTCGTATTACAAGTTTCTAAATATGTACTACGTATAAATTGTTTGTATTTGAGGTTGTATACAATTTATGGCCGTGGGTAGGGTATAGCTAGGCATAGCTTCATGGTTGAGCTCAACTTCTTTCTACTTCGTATATTACTCTATTCCTTTTGTTTGTATTATGAAAAAGAGGGAATAGATTTTTGAATTGGGAACTCTTTTATAGGTCTCATCATTTCGGGAGAGCAGGTCAGATAACAAGAAGTTTTACATATTTACAGCTACAAAGACACTGCACCTAAGGACAAATTCAAAGAAAGAGCGAGGAGCATGGATAGAAGCTCTGATTTCCACAAGAAATCTCTTAATGCTTGGCCCAGCGAATGATGATGCCCCTCTTTTACCCCGGGATATATCCATATCAACTGAGAAACTGAAGAGTCGCCTGGTTGATGAGGGTATGAGTGAGGGACTTGTGAAGGAATGTGAGAAGATTATGCTCTCTGAATTTTCTCAAGTTCAAGCCCAACTCAAAGTTCTTAGCGAGGAGAGGGTAAGTTTACTGGACACACTAAGACATTTGGAGGTATGTGGCATTCCAGTCTTTATTTTGTATAGTTAAACAAATGCATTCTTGTCGTGCCATAACAATTATCTTACCCAATTGCACTTGATGTATATAACAATGACATTTCACTTGCAAAAAAGAAACCTAAAATGATTAAGAGAAAAGGAATGTCTTATAAAGATAAGCACCATGGCAACTCTGTTTATCCGCCAAATTTAAATTTTATTTCCATTTATTCATTCATTCTTCCATTTTGCTCTTTTCTTGTTTCTTCCTTTTTGTGTCTATGATTTTGTGCAGTTCTTTTTTCTCTGCGCTACTGAAATCGCATCACTGTTTTTTGCTGAAGTCTATAGTTTAATTCATTGGAATGAATGTTTTATATAAATCATAGAAATGAATGTTATTTCTAAATCATTGAAATGAATACCTTCAAAAATAATCATTGAGATGAATGTTAATCTCTTGTTTTGAATTAATAAGAAATGTTGATGCTACTACCCCTTTCCTAGAAAACTTACAATGTTACTTTTACTTCTACGGAGTATTTGTCAACGCAATTTCATTTTATTCTCCAATTTGAGTATCAATTTTTTATAATTTTTGAATTTAGTGTTTGTCAATCAGTAGCATTATAAGTGCAGTTTTTAAAGGTGTAAATTTCAATTGTTAATATTGATTCAAATATTAATAGGGAGATATTATTTTGATCTTTAGTTAACTTGAAACTAACAAACTCGCATATCTAGTGACATTGATTAAATACATTAAAACTACTTATGTTTTATTGTCTATTTTGTAGTCATATTTAGAGAATTTCTCAAAATTAGACTCCCCAGTCCGAGTGATCATTTTCTTAGCCGGCGGAATTTATCATATATGGTCTCATGTTTTTGCCTGATGATAATTGTGGTCACGTAGAATTTTAAAGATTGCACGGAAAATCTCAAGTGACCTAACATAAAGATCTTGGCAGGATTGCGGCAATCTATGTTTAATGTGTGCGGAGGCTCAAAATTAATAAAGAAACTAAATGACTGAAGCACCCAAAATCATCCAGCAGTAGATGCGGATGCCTGAAATCCCACAAAAATCTGCAACTTTATCACGTACTCACGTGAGATTAGATTTTTCACGGAATTTAGTAAATACGGCAACAAAAGCTTTGCTATATTCCATAGGTTTTCTAGTTAGTGGTCCAAAATGGTCACCCGTGATTCCGTGAGAAAATTGGATTAAAAGCTTTCCATTCCACAGAACGTGTAGTACTTGTCTATTTGGATCCGTTCATACTCATACCCTAAAGTGGTTGGGCTGGGTTAATTAGGCATTTCAGGGATACCTGAGGCATAAGAAAAATAGAAGAACGGTTTGATGTACGTTTTTTGTACGCCTTTTATACACTTCTCTATGCACACAAGCAGGGGTGTACAAAATAAAGAGCTTGTTTGATGACTCTGTTTTTCGTCTTATTAGGCTTATCAGCTAACTTTTTAATTAAACAAATAATTTTTTACTTCGCGCACTAAATTGAGTAATAATAAGAAAAAGTAAGGTTGTAGTTAATTTTCTAGCTCTATTGGCTAAAGTAACTGTAGATGACCATTTCAGTTATTTTTCATATAATTTTTTCTTTACTTTATTAACAAATATATTTTAAATATTATTTTTCCATAATTTTTTCTTTACTTCATAAATTTCATTAGAATCAGCCTACTCAGCACATTTCACTGTTACCAAATTGATTCAAATTTTCCTAAAAAATTTATTCTAATAATTGAATGTTTTATATTTTGAATAATTTTTTATTTATTGTATTGTGGGTTTTTCTTATCCCTTTGATTAGAATTACAATATATGTTATCTTATTTGAGTAGGTATGATATCACAATCATTCTAATCTGATCTAAATAGTTATTATCTTATTTGATTTTTGTAGAAATTAATATTTATGTTGTTGTTAGTTGTTATTTTTTTCTTTATCTTTTTTTCTTCCTTATGTTGTTTATTCTTTTATCTTTATATATATGTATTCTTTTTATCTTTTTATTTTATCACTTTTTTCTATATCTCATCTCTATTTTATACTTCCTTCATCCCTAAAATAACTTCATAATGAGTATTGTGTGATAGAGAGTTGTGCAAAAGAGAGAGAAATGAGTAAGAATTGTTGTGAATCATAAATTCCTTGCCAAATAGAGAAAGTGAAAGTTTATTTTGGTACGCCAAAAAGGAAATTTGGAAGTTTAATTAGGGACGAAGGAAGTAGTACTCCCTCCGTCCCTGAAAATACTTCCAACTTTCCCTTTTCGTCTGTCCCAAAAAGAACTTCTCTTTCTTTTTTTGGCAAAGAAGTTGTGGTTCACAGCATTTCTCTCTCTTCTGTACAACTCTCCACCACACAATTCCCACTTTCTTAATCTGCGTGCCACTTTATTTTGGAAGTAAATTATGGGACGGAGGTAGTATTATTTTTATCATACCTCATCTTTTTTCTTTCTTATTTTTTTTCTCTTTTGGCAATCAATTCATCTTAATCGACCTCAAACATCTTTTGGGACTAAGACTAGGCTAGTTAGATGTTATTGTTGTTGTTAGTTGTTATTTTTATTGTACTTAATGAAATGAGTTTCTAAGTAGTAACGTATTGTCATACTCTGTCTCATTTGGAAATAATATTTGTACTTTTTGTCTTTCATAATATTAGTTTTAACTTCTAAAACTATTTTCATTTGCTCCCACTCTTAATTTCCACATTTTTAATCTTCTTTATTCTTTTTTATGTTTTATCCTTTTTTATTTTTCTTATGTTCTATATCCTTCTTAAATTATCTTGTCATTTATTATTTATTTTGTACTCCGTATTTAACTTTATCCCATCTTTTTTTGTTTTTGAAAGAACTTTATCCCATTTTGATCTTATTGTTTTGTCTTTCTAATCTTTTTTACTTCAATATCCATTTATGTTAGTTGATTTAATAAACTTTTACTACTCCCTCCGTTTCTGAAACAAGTTCCACCTTTCCTTTTCGGGCAGATTCAAAATTAAGTTCCACTTTCAAACATTTCCTTATTTGGCAAATTATCTACATTAAAACAGTGTCAAACAATGTCAAACAGTGTTCAAACAGTGCCAAACAGTGCCAAACAGTGCACTCCACAGTAAAGTCAAATTTATTTTCTTAATATGTGTGAAGTCAAATGTGGAACTTGTTTCAGAAACGGAGGGAGTATTAAAATCGGATGTTGTTGTTGTCATCAACACTGATATAATTGGGACTAAGGTCTATGATTGAACATAGTTTAGAAAGGGACACTGCCAAGCGCCAGCACTGTTTGAGTGCGAGTAATCATTTCTACTTTGAGTCTCATTGTGGAACATGGTGGCGTGGGTTGTTGGCTTCCTTTTAGTAAAAGCCAAGTATGAATGATTTTCTTCAAAAACAAAATGGGGCCTTTGTAAAATCATTCCCTATCATTTTTTTTTTATTCTCACTTGTTCAGAACTTCAGATGCACTGAACATTTTATGTTAACCTTATTTGTGCAGACAGCTAATATTGAAGCCGAATCCTCTGGAGTTCTGTGTCGAGATTACCGATTGCGTGGAAAGTTCAGTGGTAAATAATGCTAAACCAATCCGTACATGTTTCTCACTCAAAAATATAGATACTTCCGTATATCTCCAGTAATTGAATGTGCATGAACATCCTTTTCAACGACAACTAGTTATACAACTCACACAACGACACTATTCATAAAACATACTAGTACTCCGTATATACTACTTCAACAACTAGTTATACAACTCACAAAACAACACTATTCATAAAATCATACCAGTATGGCAGTATATACTACTTCGTAGTTCGTATTACACTAAAAGGCACTCAATGAGATATTTCGATATCGTGACTCACTTCGTCAAGGAACTACACGAAGAATTAAAAGCTCATATGGCAACATTTATTTTTAGCTTATAACCTTATCAAATGACTTTTATACCAATGGTGGTAACTTTTAATTTTTGGATTATGTATGTAATAATCAAAATAAATAAAGTTGGGTTTATTTTTCTGTTTCAACTGTCTGAAGTTACTTTATATGACGAATGTAGATGTTTTCATATGGAATATAACTTTCTTCTTAATATTATTCATACAATATGTTTTCATACTCCCTCTGGTCCTTAATTAACTTTACACTCTTCTTTTTGGGTTGTCCCGTATTAAACTTTACACTTCCTTATTTGCCTTATTTGTCAAACATATCTACATCAAACAGTGCAAAACAGTGCCAAATAATGTCAAACAGTGTACTCTACAGTAAAGTCAAATTTATTTCCTTAATATGTGTGAAGTCAAAGTGTAAACTTCATTAAGGACCGAAGGGAGTATAATTTTTTTCATAATTGAGAAAAGGGGTAAATAAGCCCATGTACTAACAAAAAAAGGTCAAATAAGCCCTTATATGGGAGACTATGTCCGGCCATCGTCATTTGGGGCAGTTCCCGGTGGAAATTTTTTATGCAATTTTTTGAGCATATTATTCATTAAGTCTAAACAGTCTCTCTGTGCTTTAGTACAGGGGTAAGACTGCGTACATCCGACCCCTCTTACCCCACCGTAAGTGGGAGTCTTTGCGGCACTAGGGTAAATGAAAATGATGATGATGATTATTCATTAAGTCTAATTTACTCATACCAAATTTCAGCTAAAACTTCAATCGGGAAGGCATTCAAATGAATTCTTGAAGATAACTGCGCAGTTAAAAGTGCAGTTATCTTCAAGAATTTATTTGAATGTCTTCCCAATTGAATTGTTAACTGAAATTTGGTATGAGTAAACTAGACTTAATGAATAAGATTCTCAAAAATTTTCATCAAAAAATTCCACCGGGAACTGCCTCAAATGGTGATGGCCGGACAGAGTCTCCTATATAAGGGCTTATTTGACCTTTTTTGGTTAGTACGTGGACTTATTTGCCCCTTTTCCCTAAGTGGGTTAGTACGTGACCTTCATAATTCAACATATTTAGTTAATTCAGCCACGCCAATAAGAATATCTTTAGTTTGAGCAGATTCAGTTGGTTTTAGTGTGTCCAAACAGGCTCTAAGTTTAGAGTGACAAGAATGCTATATGAACCTTTCTTACATGTATAAAATACTACCTCCGTCCCTTAAAACTTTACCAAAGTTGACCGGCACGGAGAATAATAAATTAAAAACTGTGTGGTTGAGGTTTGTACAGAGAAGAGAGAAATAACAGAAACCACAAAATTATTGATTAAAAGGGATAGTGTCAAAGTTTTTTGGGATGTCCCAAAAAGGAAAGATGACAAAGTTTTAAGGGACGGAGGGAGTACTATGGGTGACCATAAGACACTTGTTTACTATTTTACACATGGCATCCCTTGTTCCAAATTATGACTTCGTTTTACCCAAGCATTTTTGCGTTTTTGCCCAAACACCAAAAATGTGATAGGTTTTTAAAATCATAAAAGAGTGTGATTAATTTTGTCATATCATTCAAAAAGTCAAAGGATGCAACATAAAACGCCCATTGTGTTCAGATCAGAGAGTTACTAATGATTATGAGTTACTCTGTAACAAAACACAAGTTTTCCTATTCTACACATTTTTTATTCATGGGGTGCAAAAGAAAAACGCACTATCTGCAATGAACTTTGCAACAGAATTCTAGTACAAACAGTCGATAGAAATAAATTGTAGCAAATTTTTAAAGAAAATTGGTTAAATCATTACTAAACTTTTTCATGTACCGCGCGCTCTTGTAATCCCAACACCAGGTAGAAGTTCATAACATCCATGGCCGGTTCTAGGGGTAGGCTACCCGATAAGGCATTTTAGGTGCAATTTGTTGGTGATTAAATAGTACATAAAATGTGTTTTGAATTTAAAGAATTGACGTTCTTTCAACAAGTTTTGTGAGAATGGTTACGCTTATTGTAAGAAGGTGTATCCAATACCTCCAACACTTATTAATTTGGTAAACTAATAGTTTGAGTTCCATGGGACAGCTGGGAAAATAGTGAATTGTTTTTTCAGAATGTGCATGATAAAATATTGCTATAGGCTTCAAAAATAATTGGACCGGCCCAGTTAACATTCCAGGTTAGCTGAGCTATTGCTCAATTTATGTTAGGAAAGTGAGATTTCACAAGAATTTGGTATCACAATAACTAGTCGATGTCAAGTAAATTTAGTCAACTGCGTATTACAGGCTCTATGAGCTTACAGATTAAATATCACATATGCATGTGTTTCAGAATGGAGCACAACCCCATCATCCGATGATGCTGAAAAGCAGGAGCTGGAAGAGGTGTCAGATGAAGAGGAACTCGATTTTTTTGACACAGATGACCATTTTGCAGACGCTTTCATCACTTGTGATTCAATAGGTGCAAATGAATGTCATAATAAATACCTTGAATTCAAAAACCAGAGTAGTAGCATGATAAGTATAAGTTCCGGAAACAACAATTCAGTGCGTGCACAAGTAGCGAGGAGGCAAAAACTACCGGATCCAATAGAAAAAGAGAAGGCTGTTAGTTTATGGTCTGTGATTAAAGACAATGTTGGAAAAGATCTTACTCGAATTTGCCTTCCGGTGTATTTCAATGAACCGTTATCATCACTTCAGAAAGGTTGTGAAGAGTTCGAGTACTCCTATCTTCTAGATCAGGCGTATGAGCATGGCAAAGCGGTATGTTATTAAAATGTTCTTTTTTTGTGTTCCATCTGCGTAGCTAGAGTGGGGCTAATCCTGCCCCCATACCAAGTTCGGTAAAAACAAAATTGAACGCAATTTTCTATGAAAGTTTACATGGATGAATAAGCTTTCTATTTTGCCCCAAATTCGAATTTTTAAGGGCCCGCGTGGCTGCTTCTATTAGGAATTAGACTGCAAGTCTGCAACTATTAATTAAAACTTAATACCTCTGTGCCTATTTAAAGTTCTTGTATTCCTTTTTAAGATACATCTTCTGGAAATCTACAATTAAATTTGCGTGTGTTGCTTTTTGTATTCATGTATTCATGCTTACTGAATATCTGAAATGTGCATGATCATGGATTCATGTAGATATTAGATGATTTCTTTTAAGTCTTGGTGATTCGTATAACTATTTTTTTAAAGGAAAATTCCTTTCACTGGGTTTACTACTATTCAGTAACATTTGTTGTTTGAATAAGGAGCACTATTAGTCTCGGATTTACATGCTTTCAAGTGTTGTGAATTTAGTTTCACTTACGTGTAGTGATTTTGAGAAATCCATTTGGGTCCTTTTTTAAAAAGTTTGGCATTATGTGGTACTTTTAGGGGAACAGTCTTCTAAGGATTTTGAATGTTGCTGCTTTTGCTGTGTCTGGATATGCTTCGACAGAAGGTCGACACTGCAAACCCTTCAACCCTTTGTTAGGAGAAACTTATGAAGCTGATTATCCCGAGAAGGGAATCAGGTTCTTTTCCGAGAAGGTATTTTATCAAATTAGTATTTCTTGAACAATTACTAACTAAATAAAAGATGTCTGAGCCGATATTCTTTGTAGTGTTCACACACTCTTTTGTTTGAATGTCAACATGCCTTCTTATCTACAAGGAGTTACATTGTGTTAGTTTCATTTTATCATTTTAGGAAAAAGTGTGATTTGAATTTTTGAAGGTCTGATGTGGTTAAAAATTCTGATTTTTTCTGGTCTTGTCTATTTGGTGTGATCTGATATTCTTTTATCCACAACAAAGTATCTCATTTAGCTGATATGAATCTTTCTTATCCAGTCTAATGTTTCTTGTCCCATCTATTTGAGCGTTTCTTGTCTCAACTAAAACAAGAATGAGATTAAGCAAAAGAAGTGAAAAGAACACTACCTTAGGCTTTGTTTGCAAACACTACTCATAAGTGCTTTTGAACTTTTTAAAGTGATTTTGGAAAAAGTGCTTAATAGTAAAAGTTGGTAGAGTTTGAGAAAAAAATGATTTTGAAAAGTTAAAGTTGGTAGTGTTTGGTAAAATAAGTGCTTTTTGTGTAATATAAAAAAGTAAAAAGCAGATTCTAGCTTTTAGCTTTTAAGCAATAATTTAAGTAGAAGTTGTCATTTGAAAACACTCTTTTTAGCTTTTTTAAGCCAAAAGGTGGGACGTGCTTTTTTTTCAAGGGTTTGCAAACGGTGGCTTAGTGATGGAGAGGGAACTGTTTCATTCGTTACGTACAAATTATTTAGGAAGTACATATTTGCGTTGAACTAACATTATGCAATGGACCATTGGAATTAGATATTCCTTATTACTTTACCTTAGCTTATATAATTGTTTGAAAAGGAGATTAGTTTGGTATGAATCTCCAAAAGTGGGGATTTAGTCTATGAACCGCTTCTCATTTATATTCGTGTTGGTGATATGTCATATTTTAAAACAGGTTAGCCACCACCCAACACTTATTGCCTGTCATTGTGAAGGTAAAGGCTGGAAATTTTGGGGTGACAGTAATCTTAAGTCTAAGTTTTGGGGGAGATCAATTCAACTTGACCCAGTTGGAACCCTAACTTTAGAATTTGACGATGGGGAGATATTTCAATGGAATAAGGTATGTACGGTGTATGACATTACCGTTGGCAATTGAAACAATTTGCAATAAACATGATATCATCACTCCATATGCTGTAATAAGTAATTCGCTATGCTGATTTTGTCTCCAGGTCACAACAAGCATCTATAATATTATCCTTGGCAAGATATACTGTGACCACCATGGAACGATGCATATACGTGGTAATCGTCAACACTCTTGCACCCTCAAGTTCAAAGAGCAATCACTTCTTGAACGCAATCCGCATCAGGTAAAAGGCGGGTGATACATTATTATCCATTGCGACTCAATTGTGGCAGAACGACTTATGTGAAACAAAACAAAAAACATTGTACAGGTTCATGGATTTGTTGACCACAACACCGGAGGGAAAGTAGCTACATTATTTGGAAAGTGGGATGAGAGCATGTATTATTTAAATGGAGAATATAATAGCAGACCAAAAGATATCTCGAATGCATCATTATTGTGGAAGAGCAATCAGCCTCCCGAGAATCTCACCCGATACAACATGACTGCTTTTGCAATAACTCTGAATGAGTTGACACCAGGGTTGCAGGTATCATGATGTTTTAACTTTTAACAAATTTTTCTAATGCGATAATAATTCGATTCATTATGCGTATCATTTATAGATATGTATCTGAACCTGAGTTAAATTCGATTCATTATGCATGAAGGAGAAACTCCCACCAACTGATTCAAGACTTAGACCGGATCAAAGATATCTGGAGAACGGAGAATATGACAAATCAAATGATGAGAAACTACGACTAGAGACACGACAGAGAATGGTAAGTTAAATGGAATCCTTCTGTAGTACCCCCACTGTTCCATCTATAGGATGTCACAATCTGGATTACAAGTCTTGACTGAACATGTTTACAGTTTGGTTTATTTTTTATACTCTTAAAATTTTTGTTTAGAACCTATTAGAGGAATTGAGAGGTGGGGAGAAGAGGCAGGGGACGAGGGAGAGGACGTGCCAAACAGATGTGGATTAGAGTGGTCATGAATGATATATAACTTCTTGGGTTAGATGAGAGTATGACTTTGGAGAGAGTTGAGTGGAGGGAGACTATACATGTGGAGGATTGATCTGTTTTTGTTTGTCTCCCCTTTCTCTTTTTAATCTTTTTTGTAACTGCGATTTCATATGTCAATCCATGTTAGCCGACTGCAAACTCTTTTGGGACTGAGACTTGGATGTTGTAGTTTATTATTTCTTGAACTTTGCATCTTTGACAACTAGTTCTATTTAAGCCCATAGGATCGAATTTGAAAATGATATAAATATCAGTCTGAAAGTAAGCAAAGAGAGAAGAGTTTGTTTCAACAAATGAAAAGTAGAAATAGCATCCCTTTTGGACTGATGTAGTGTTTAAGGTTTTATTCTTCCTCAACTTTAGTTTCAAAAAAATGCATAGAAACAGATGTAGATGATTTACTGTTTATCCTTCCTCCAGATGACACTCAACTTTTTTCCTAGATCGTGTTTTGCCTTGAATAATTAGAATTGAACATGGACTCCTAGTTATGTCTGTTTTCGGTCATCACCCTAGTAAAATCTGAATTGTCTTAAAACTGAAATATTTATAATTGTTTTAAGAGTGTGTACAGAGCCAATTATAAATATGTAGGAGTTTGTACTTTGTATGATGACTTTTCTACATGTTTGTTGAGACCTACAGAGCCAATGTGCGTTGTCCATAATATTGATTGTGAAAATTGTAAAAGTTAAGTTGGTTATGAAAGAGAATGTGTATTTTTATTATGACAGCAAAACTATGTTTAGAAAATGAAATAATAAAATTATACGGAGTAATAAATATATTATATTTTCTATAGAAATAAGGTAAGGTGGGTCCCATTTAACTCTTATAGAAGTATAGAACACACATAGATCCCATGACTTATTCCCATTGCGAATATGAATGAGTACGGGACTGAGGGCACCCACTGTAAAGGATAAATGGTGTTGGCCTGTGGTGAAGGATGAATTGGACATGGTGAGGAGGGGTGAAGGACACTAATGTGTCCATATGCTGGGCACGGTGGGGGCAAGCATGTCTTCATGGTACATGGTTTGGACTTTGGAGTAACATGGACACATTAAAGTATGTTATGTCTTCATGATACAAATTTTTAGATGCAAACCACATGTTGCCAAGTTTCATAATCTGTTAATCTTTCATAATGAAAGTGTATAATAAGTTTCATAATCTTGAATAATTTCATGATGTTCAAATTATTGGTCATGAATGTTATACTTATATGCATGTGTCATGAAACATCTTTCTTCTTTCCCAGTCCAAGAAGTTACAAGAAACTGGTTGGAAGCCAAGATGGTTCAAAAGAGATGGAGATGATGGCACTTTCCGTTATGTTGGTGGCTATTGGGAAGCACGGGAGAAAAGAAGATGGGAAGAATGCCCAAATATATTTGGTCAGATTGATGAAAGTCTCTTGGGTCTTGTAAAGCACACCTCAACAAGGGTTTCTGATGGCGAGTAATGTGAAAACAGAGTTGTGTTTCTGTTCCATGTTTTGTAGGCCTAGTTTTGTAATCTCTTACCCCCTTGCCACTATAATTCTGTTAGTTTTTTTATTTTTTATTTTTTGGCTTCAGCAGACCATTAATTTAGGTAATTGTTTGTATTAGCTTTGCTATCCAAAAAAAGAATTGCAACTGATGTATCTAAAGCAAACAAGCCAATTAAACAGGGCTGCTAGTCTTGTAAAGTTCTAAAGATTATTATAGCAAAATCTTGAAAAGTACTCGAGAGTAGATATAATTTTACCAGGAATTAACATGATCTAGTGTTAACACGATGCCTTCTCTATATATACTACGTATAATATATTGATGCTTTGTTTGCAATTTTCTTTGAACTTTAGGATGTTTTCTTTTGGACTATAAATGTAATTAGCTAGTTTGGTCTGATCTATTTAAGTCTGAATTGGTTTGGTCCGGTAAATGTTTGGTCTCTGTGTATTTTATAATTATCCAAATCTGGTCTGGTTTGATTTGTTTAGCTGGTTTGATTTGTTTAAGTTAATCTGATTTGATCTGGTCTGGGACAGAAAACAGTCCAACGGAAAAGATCCTAGTCCATTGTCCTGGTCCAAAAGTCGCTACTCGTTTACATTTTTCAACACTCAGGATATATCAAAAATACAAAACAATTATGTATCTCATAATTCATGCTCCCATTATATAAAAAATGGAAATATTGTTATGGGAAGCCGCGGCAGAGATTTGAAGGAGTTGGAGGGTAATCGTCCTTCCCTTTTCAAGTTTACATATAAAAATATTTACTCCCTCCGGTTCTCAAAAAGATTCACAGTTTGACTTCACACAGATTAAGAAAATAAATTTGACTTTATCGTGGAATGCACTGTTTGGCACTGTTTGACATTGTTTTGCACTGTTTTAGTGTAGATAATTTTCCAAATAAGGAAATAAGAAGAAGTGTGAAGTTAATTTCGGAACTTCCCGAAAAGAAAAGTGGGAAGTTGTTTGAGAACCGGAGGGAGTATATGTTTTACTCCGAATATTTTTTTTTGAAATATGAAATCGGGGCTCGCATAGAAAAACTAATAATTTTCTATTGAAATATATTAACAGATTAAATTCAACATTAAAAAATTCAAAGAGGATAAGTTTTTAACAACAGAGAGAGTACTCAGAGTAGTATTGTTGGTCCAAAATAGGACGATCGTAGACTTTTAGAAAAGCTACGTAAGAACACTCAAGCAGGAATTAGGAAAGTACGAATATGGAAAGTTAGCCAGAAATAGCATGTAGAATTCGCTTTTTTAGTTTGAATTACAAAGTGCCTTTTATAGGCGTATACAATTCGTAACCGCTACCGATAATAATGACTAATTAATTACAACATTAATACAGAATTAAATACATAATTAAACGCGCATTAATTGCTTGACTGTTACTTTTCCTGGCTGGGAGGTCGGCCGGACTGGCAGGCTCCCCGCTGGGCTGGCAGGCAGGCTCCAAGTTGTGGACTTGGATCCACGAGTTCAAGTTCGGGGCTTAAGCTGATTAGGCTCCGGGCCTAGTCCCATTACTCCATCACGAGTCCCCCACTCCCTTAGTCGAGTAGTAGACTCGGCTAAGAGGGAGTAGTCCAAGTCAGTTGCTCTTCTCCGAGACTAGAAGATCTCTGCCCTTGTCCATGTTGGGGAGATGCCTCATTAAAAACCTTCATCGTGAAAAACCCCAATGGGAAAAAGTCCTAATGAAGGGGAAAAGAGTACATCTGATGCCCCCAAAATGACGCAAGAGGTGAGATCCTCGGCCTTTATTGCAATGGTCGCCATCTGCAAATAGAATGCCAAGAAATGTTCTTCTCGTCGGGCTCAGACTCGTCAGGTTCGTCATTTGCTTCCTTGAAGATGGTAAGACCCTCAGTCCCCCACGTCATTCAGTTGTACCTACACATAAAAGAAACTAGTGTAGAATAGAGCATCTGGCCTGGTGTCGAACCACGGCTCAGTATGTAAGTGAGTCGGACTCACTACTTGAAAAGAGTGACATCAAGTTCCCAAGTTAGGCCTCAACCCAGTCTCCGAAAGAAAGATTGAATCCGCGAGTAAGTGAGGCGGACTCCTCACTCGAACGGATAATCCAACCCCAGAGAACTAAAGTATATCAACCTCTTCGAGAAATGTGAACGTCAATTAAGTGACAACATTGCTCGGAAAAGCGTGGCTCTAGGCCCCTAACAAGAGCTTAACTCGCCGTCCGAGGTTAGTAGTTCGAACCCGCAAGCAAAGACTTTTGAACGGGTGACTCGTCCCCCGAGGTCGGAGTGTGATGCACTAGGAAGAGGTAAGAGCACGCAAGAACCCGTAAGAAGTCACGAGTGTGAGGTATTAACATTTATATTGGAGCTTATTATTCGCCACACCCATATGACATGACCCGGTGGCGCGAGTGTGTGTGCTCGGCCATTGTACGAGTGTGTGTGCTCGTCCGGTGTATGTGAGTGATCGGATTTCATAAGTCCGTTTTTCAATGTTAAAATTACACACGCTCAACAAGAGTTAAAGCAATTACACCACTTAAAATATCTTTTCAAATGTTTCAATTTATAATTTTTTTTGTAATGTATCAAATATAGAGGATTTTTGGATACTTAGCTTTTTTGAATTGGGCTGAAAATTGAATGTGTTGATGTGATGGACCGGGCCAATGATAGGCTCCCACCGTCTTTGTCTTGGTAGCACCTAACTTATGGGCTGAGAGTTGCGCTCAAGTAAATGCACTCAGGGTCCTTGGAGATGACTTTGGGCTGGAACCAAAGAGCAGCAGAGAGGGTGCGCCCGACAACGCCCTTGCTCTAAATCCTTCTGCTAGAGGGACTCCCGGCGGCCACGGCCATGACTCACCTGCACTTGAACCATCGTTTCCTTCCTGGTCCTTGAGTTGCGACGTCAACTGATGCGGAAGTGGAGCTAGCGGAAGTGAAGCAGGCGTCGTTACGAGAGAGGTGGCAGAGTCGGCACAAGAAGCTTTGTACTTCGTCGTTGGCCGCTGAACGCTCAACACCGGGTTGGTGCAGACTGGTCGGAAAACCGCCGGTCCGTTGTGGCGGAGTTGGTTCTTGGGGCGTCTGTAGATCCACCGTGGGTTCTCCAAGCCGCAGATTCGTGGCGGAGCACGGCCCTACGGTGATGTCACTGGTGGTGGTTGGCACGGTTCCAGATTCCGGTTGCTTCTTTCGATGAGTAATTGCAGATCTCATTTCCAGATTTTCCTTTTTTCAGAACAGATTTTTGGCCGTTTTTTTTTGTAATTGGGATGAATTTTTGGATATTTTGGATGAATCTCACCTGATTTTGCTCAAAGACATTTGATGGAGTATATGACCCGGGAACCCCCGGCCCACAGACTCCTACTACTCCAGCGAAGGCCCAACAGGCCCAAAAGGCCCAACAGGCCCAAATCACAGCGCCCGGAGTACCAAGCAACCCGCACTACGCGCCAGGGGTGCCTTCGGCCCCCTGGCCGAAGGGTCTAAACTCTCACAGAACGGGTTTCTCAAGCAAACTAAGAAACTGGGAGAAAACGGCGAAAACAGTAGCCCTCGGTACTGTGAGCCCTCGGCACCAAGGTGCCCTCGGTTGGAGGAGCCTTCGGCTACTGCTCTGTGGCCGAAGGCATCTCACTCGACAAGATATCCGCCTCACATGCGTACAGATCACCGTACCCTGCACAGACGTCCCATCCAACAGTCGCATTAAATGCGGCCACATGCGGCTGCCAGCGCCAACCAGTTGAGGTGACCCCTCGGCCAATGAGCGCTTGACACGTGTCCCTGCCCGGCATTTATTGCTACTATAAATAGCACCCCATTTCCCCATTTGTAACGACGCTGAAAACGGCATTCATACTGAATACACTCTCTCTCTACATTTACTTACTTGCTCTGACTTCTCTCTAAGTTATTCCCCGTAATAACCCTTCGGATATATACCCCCGGGTAGACTATCCATCATTTGGTGCTCTCGTTGAGAGGTCGAACAATCAAGTAAGAAACCCTCCCCCTCGACCAAACACAAAACACTAGCCCTCTATCAAAATGGTGAGGACAACACGTGCCAACTCAAAGAACGTAGAAGACAAGAACCTGGCCCTCGGCGACGTCAACGCCCCCGAAGCCTCTCACAGGGCTCCCGAGGGAGGTGTCATCGCTGGGCTGGAACAGGCGGCTGTCGACCTACGCCTTCAGATCCAACAAAATGCCCCTGATGCCCGCCTCGGCATCGAGGCCAAGAAGAAAGACCGGAGCGATGACCAAGTCAGCCATCCGGTTCTCACCATCGACGTGCAATCGGCGCTCTCCGCCTTCATCCAAACGCTCACCCAGAACCCGGGTGCCTTCGGCACCCTGGCTCCAGCTCACCCCCAGGTTGGGGAAAACATCATACTTCCCCCTCTGCCACACCCCTTCGGAAATCCCACCCCTCGGGTGAGAAACGACGAAGGGGTGGTGGCCCAAGATACGTCCTCCCACGAAGTTCAATCCCGGGACCGCCATAATGACAACAGGGAAAGGCCCCGTACTTCCGCCCTCAACCGGCTCGGAGGAGGGCCAGACCGCCGAGGGGTACAAGACCGCCTCGGGGGGAAAGCACTCCAAAGGCCCCAGGAAAGCGGGGGATCTGTTTCGAGGGCAGACGAGGAGCGTCCCCCTCGGGACAAAGGCAAGGCACCCCTTCATGCCAATGATGCCCGCCACCAGATCAACCAGGCCCACTCGGCCCAGGTTCGTTCGCAGGGGGCGGAGACCCTCCCAAAGGATCCCCGGGACGAGATTATTGCGGCCCTCCAACGCCGGCTTGACGAAATGGAGTCCAACAAAGCTCACACCACCCCCTCCACCCCTAACTCAGACCTCAAATACGAGGCCATGATGGCCAAAATGGAGGAGTTACAGAAGAAGGTGGCCGAGGGCTCCGGGGAACCCGTCATCCAGCTCCGGACTCGGACGCCATTTACCCCAAGGGTATTGGCGGCCCGGATCCCGGAAAAATACCGAGGGCAACACATACAGCCCTACAACGGAAAAACGGACCCCCAGGAACATTACAGCAAATACCAGAACAACATGATGATGGTAGGGGCGTCGGATGAATATTTGTGTCGTTGGTTCCTCTCCACCTTAGAGGGGCCGGCATACGAATGGTTCAACAGGCTGCCCGAGGGCTGCATTGATTCGTGGCAAGAACTCGCCCAACGATTCTTGACACAATTTGCCGGGAGGCGTCGCACAAGGAAGCACTTCTCCCACCTCCTAACAATACGCCAGAAGAAGGATGAGACCCTT